CAAGTGGATACTTGGAAAACTAAGTAACACTTTATAATTTCCCACAATGTAGTTTGTACCTTGGGGTTATTTAGTTTTACTTGTTTATGCTTTTTCAAAGTGATTGATATTATGATTGTTCAATTTGCAATACGTCAAGTTTAGTATTTAATCTACCTTTTTTGCACGGCCTGTTTTATTATTCATGTAATATTACAAAGTAATTATTAATTACGACAAGAATGTTTTATAACTGCAACTTAATTTAAAGAATATATATATTCGTTCATTCTGTAAATTTCTGCTCTTACATTAAATAAAAGCTTCGTAATCATTGGCCGATGTTTATCACATTGAACCAATAATTGAACATTTTATAGTTTCCATTTCCCTAGGTAACGAAGCAGTTGTAGTAGGCCTAATTTGAAACTTATGAAGTGGCTTGCTTGGCCTTTAAAATCTTCAGTGTTTGCTCCATTAACTAACAATAACATTGTACTCAATGTGTAGCAGTTCAGATAATGTAAGTTTTATATTTGGTTTATATTAATTAACATCTAAGAAATTCATCAAGTATTAAGAAACCTGACAACCAAAAACTTTACCTTCGTTTAACTGTGCTTAGTTGCTTAGGCCTAAACTAGTAAACATAAAGTTAATTTCAAACTCGATTTTGACAACAGTGCAGTTGCAATTTTCTTTTTGTAACTTCATTTGTAGTTTAAAGTTTTGTTGATTAGTGTGATTTTAATTTTCTTTTTGTAACTTCATTTGTAGTTTAAAGTTTTGTTGATTAGTGTGATTTTAATTTTGTTTTTGTAACTTCATTTGTAGTTTAAAGTTTTGTTGATTAGTGTGATTTTAATTTTGTTTTTGTAACTTCATTTGTAGTTTAAAGTTTTGTTGATTAGTGTGATTTTAATTTTCTTTTTGTAACTTCATTTGTAGTTTAAAGTTTTGTTGATTAGTGTGATTTTAATTTTGTTTTTGAAAAAGATTAGTTAATGAGCTTAAATTGAGATGTATAAAAATGTATAAGTCGGAACTTGTTTTATATATGTAATCACTTCAAACTATCTTATTTTGTAGCTAAAAGTAAAACACTCGTTATGCTGCGTACTTTTATTAATATCAAAGAGATTTAAAACACTAAAAGTTAAGCTTTGTCACTACTATGTTATTTATTTGTTTATCGTTATTTAACTTGTACAAATACTGCATTTTGTAGAAGGAAGTAGTTTACGTGATAACGATAATATATAATAGAGAAAGATCCAATTTGAATGTAGTTGTTAATAATAATAGTAGCATGGCTTACTTTTAAGTTTTAATTACAAATAAATTATAAATAAATATCATTTAGCTTGGTTTTTTTTAAATCTGGGTCATATTCTCAGACTACAAGGTACAATAAACAATAAATATATGCAAATATCAATTCTATAATGATTAATATTGACGCAGCTACAAAACAAAAATATTTTGGTTTGGTTTGAATTTCGCGCAAAGCTACACGAGGTCTGTCTGTGCTAACCGTTCCTATTTTTGCAGTGAAAGACTAGAGGGAAGGCAGCTAGTCATCACCATCCACTTCTTCGGCTATTCTTTTACCAACGAATAGTGGGTTTGATCGTATATTATAACGCCCCCATGGCTGAAAGGACGAGCATGTTTGGTGGGACGGGGATTCGAGCCCTCAGATTGCGAGTCCAAGCGCCCTAACCACCTGGCCATGTCGAGCCCTATAAATTTGGAAGCATAGTCTTTATCCAAATTATAAGCATTTTATTTATTTTGTTAATATACATTTTAGTTAGATACGGAAGCTTATAATAATCAAATGTATCAGAATTTATACTCTTATTATATAATTATGTTTTCAGTTTTAAATAATAGAACACAAATGTACAATAAATAGTACAATATATTTCAGCGTATTGGTATAAAAATCATATCTGATATTTTAAGGGAGTAATATAGTATATTGATTTCGTCTTACTTCAATAGCCGTTCTACCTTTTACAACAACTGTATCCTCAACACTAGAGAGCGCTCTCCTATCTCAGCCAATGAGAGACGCTGTGATGGCATGGGGAAATCAAGATGGCGTCTAAAACGGGCAAAGAAGCGAGAAAGGTAAACAAACACACGTGCGCAACAGCATTGTAAAATTTCAATTTCGTCAATCATTTACCCTTACAATAAATATTAGTAGGGTCCCCGAGAGAGTCGTGAGACCCTGGGACAATTATATGGACAGAGACTCCTAGGGTTTTCAGCCAGGAACAGCAGTTAGTCATAAAAACTGGTAATTAGTGTGTTTTAAGTAAAAGTACGTACTATTAGTTTATACTATTAAAACTGCCTCATATAATATTCTAACTTCATACACCTTTTAATATTCTATGGAGTAAATATATAACGAGAATGTTCATTAAGAAACTGAAAAAATAAAGTTGAATTAGTAATTAGTGTTTTATTTGAGTGTAAGAAAAATTCGTGAGTGTCAAATGGGTTCTAAATTATCTGAACCAGCCTGTGTGGGGTGGGCTTTTGACAAAAAAAAAGAATTATTTAAAGCTCTAGATTCAGCTGTAGTAGAATTTGCGAGTGTCAAATGGGTTCTAAATTATCTGAACCAGCCTGTGTGGGGTGGGCTTTTGACAAAAAAAAAGAGAATTATTTAAAGCTCTAGATTCAACTGTAGTATTGTTTGTTTGTAATTAAGCACAAAGCTACACAATGGGCTATCTGTGCTCTGCCCACCACGGGTATCGAAACACGGATTGTAGCGCTGTAAATCTGCAGACATACCGCTGCGCCACTGGGGGCTCAACTGTTGTAAACAATAGTGTAACGAATTTTTGTACATACGTTTGACTTCTTTTGAATATATATTATTTTAAAACAAGTGAATTGTATGCTGCCGTTTATTGTTGAAATTTATCGCCAAAACATCACAGACACCTATTGTAAAGAATCCCGTCTCTATATAAACCTGACAGCGAGTGAAAGTTTTTCTATCTTTTTTTCAATATCTAATCGTTCAATTAGTTCAATTTGAGAAATATTATTAACATAAGTAATATCAATTTAGAGAAATAAACAGATAATTGTTTGTTTCTTGTTAAGCTACACAATGGGTTATTTGTGCTGTGCCCACCACAGGTATCGAAAACCGGTTTTAGTGTTATAAGCCGCAAAACTTTCCGCTGTGCCACTGGGGGCTACAGTTAATTAATTACCCGATTAGTTTCGACGTTCCACGTACTCCATTTCCAAGGATGAAATTGCGACATTTACGAGTATTTCTTCGGTCCGGTTTAGCTATGTTTCATGTCGTATTTTGTTTCGTCGAAAAATGTCTTCCAAGATTAATTCAACTGAAAGTCTACATCATTGTTTATGAGTCTGTTTGCATTTTTTTTTGTGTGTGTGTTTTTCAATAGCTTCTCTAGTATTTCTTTGGTGAAGATATGTTGTTTCTTCGACGAGTTACGTTTGTATGAATTTGATTCTGTAATCATTTTGGTATACATGGGGGCGACGGCTGATTTTATCCACTTCTAAATAGCAGCAATGAGCATTGGATCGAATATATTTCTTGATGTGGAAACTATTGATAAGGTCTTTTCCGTTATTCAGTTTACTTAAGAGTTTTCCAATTATTGTGAAAATTGATCTGATTTGGTTGTTTTTCAATAATATACCTATTTTATTTGAGATATCCGGAAACATATGGATAGGTTTAATTGTATTTTATTTATATAGCTTCTTTGGATTTGTTTATAAAACTCTTTTATATATTTTTTTAGTTTGTAGAACAAACTGTTGATTATATTGGTACCAAGTTCTCGTGATACAACATTTTTTAAGTAGTTAATTTCATGTTTGATTCCCTTTTTTTGGTTTGAGCAGATATACAGAACACCCCACATTGTATCATGTCATCAGTATTTTTTTTGATAAAAACATTTTGAAAAGTAGTTGTAACTGAGTGGTAGTACAATCAATACTCGCCATCTAGTTTTAAAAATAGGAAGTAACATTATATATTATATCATTTTGTGCAATTCGTATAAAGCAACCCTTCATTTAATGCTTAAACGGTAAAACCTGAGTGACATGCTGGCTAACAGTAGAAATTTGATGCATTGGTCTTTCCATTTGCAGGATCTTTTTTTTCTTTTTTGAGAAAGGTAACGAGCATGTACTGGAAACAACTTACAGCTTATCTTTTTACGACGCTTTTAATATTATTGTGTACCGAAGAAGAAAGTAAAACGATAAAGAAATGAAGGGATCAAACAATAAATCAGTTTAGAAACTTTTAGGTAGACTTCTGAGCACGGGAAAGGAGAAATAAATATTTCCACGTAATAACATTTATTTTTGATCTTCGTCCTCGTGAGGCACGTCCAAACAATATTTGTGTGGAGGTCGTAAATGAATAAACATTATCTGATAAACAATAACGACGCTTAAAAATATCATTCAACAATTGGACACAATAACAAGTACAATATTCTGCGTACAAAATTAAAATGTTTGTTGTGTGCTACAGAATCGTAAGTCATACAACTAATAAGAATATTTCAAATCATAACCAGTATAGACATTATACAGATACTTAAGAAGGTACTAACAACGTAAGAATGTTGAATTCAGGGGTATACACCCCTGAAGTACAGTATGTTTCATTTTGTCGAATCTGAATTTAAATTCACCCCTCCCCCCCTCCCACCACCACAGTGGAAAAGTTGTCTGGATTTAACCCTGGTTTAGAATTTGCCAAAGGACCATAGTCTTCTTTCATTTCGGCAAAATCAGCCGACTGCATAGAAAAAAAACAATTAAACATCTTTGTTAACAAAATATTGGGGTTCCAAAAATATTCATGCCCCAGTTTAATTATTGGGGGCACCCATTCCGACCTCTATGTTAGTGAGGATATACAGACAAGTATAATCAATCACTTTCTTAGAGTTTGTTTTAGAACAAAGCCACATTGGACTGTGTCTACCGCGGAGAATCGAACACCTGATTTTAGCGTTGTAAGTCTATACACTTACCGCTGTTGCACCAGGGGACCTTTTTTGTTTTAAGAACGAACCAGTTGCGTGAAAAGTTTATTGTTTACAGGACATTGCGAGTGAGGAAAACAGTATATATACATTCAAATGAGGCGAAATGTTTTGTTTGATGATAAAGAACATCGTTATGTTTCTATCACAATAGGAAGTATCTTGAGTTAAAGATTTTGGCAAGAAAATAGAAGACAGGAGATACAATGGATACCAGAAACAAGAAATGTTATCTTACCAAACACTGATGGAATTATCCAAAAGCTATTCGGTTTGTGGGTGACAATTTCTTTAGCTAATACTAGCACGGAGTAGATTTACATATTTATAATTCTAACAGGAGAAATACATTAACAGAATGTGAACATCGTTTCATAAATAGAACTGGGTTTTGCTTTCATTATAATCGCAAACCGTTATACCTAGTCCAACCAAACTAATAAATAAATACAAGTCATATGCTAGTATATTTTGATGCTAATGGCCGAAGATTATCCTTCTGAACAGAGACGAGAGTTTTTTTTTTTTCATCTTGGAAGGCTTACCGCAGATTTTTTGCTACAAAGTAGCTTTTTAAAGGCATCTCTAAAGTCCCTGTTTTTCCACCCGTATATAATGGGATTGACTGCAGATTTTCCAAAATACAAGCACACAAAATATCGCTTCAGAAAACCCAGAACCTCCTGGCAAGTGTCGTCCATATAAGGTAGACTGATGATAATTAAATAAGGCAAAAACCCCAATAAACAAGCCCCGAGGACCATCGCCATAGTGATTGTTGTACGCGCATCCTGGCGGACGCGACTGTTCACTTCTATAGCGGCCATAGCTCGTGACTGTTTCCAAGCCTCCCGAAATATGATGCAATGCAGGACGGTCGTGATAATTAGGGTTAGAAGGACGTGGAATGCCACAACAGTTAAAGCGTAGGTGCTCGAGTGAAGATAGTACAAGTCACATTCTTTGGTAGAGTCGAAGGTTTCTCCGATACCAAGCAAGGGGAGCGAACTGATGATCCCCATGTACACCCACACGACGGCTATATAAGCCGAGACACAGCGGGACTTCATGATGCGATGATACGACAATGGATGTAAAATGGCGACGTACCGATCGACGGCTACTCCCACAAGACAAAGCATCGAACAACCCGAGGCGTAGATTGCGAACCAGTACCGAAAAAGACAACTGTACTTATTGCACACCAGGGGCAGGTCAAAGTAAAAGAGCACGTAGAAGGGCACGTTGATCCCAACCAAGAGATCAGCAGCAGCTAGGCTTACAACGAACATGTTGGTAATGGTGCGTAACCAACGAAACCGATACACGACAACTAAGACTAGCGAATTTCCCAAAACAGCGACCACGGCCAGACTAAGGTCGATGAAGACGATGACTGGCGTATTTACGTTATATGTTGTATGAAAACAGTCATTGACTGTGTCATTTTCTGTCCTTCCTTCGTCACTCAGATATATTCCTTTGAAACTGTTATTACCAATAAGAGCAAGACTTATCACATCCATTACGAAGTTAAATCACATTAATCATGAGCATTGATAAAAAAAGACACAGTAGTAGCTCGACGTCATTTCAATCAGTGGACAACGATATAACCGACGAATGTCTCTGTCTTGAAGCTCATATCGACAATGAGTAAGTTATACATGGCAATAAGAATTGATCCAAAACGTTAATTTCTACTAAAATACTTCTTATTGTTGAACATCGGGGTTAGTGCCACGTGTAACTAACTCATACAACAACAAATAATTGATCCAAAACGTTGACTAATACACTTCTTATTGTTGAACATCGGGGTTAGTGCCACGTGTAACTAACTCATACAACAACAAATAATTGATCCAAAACGTTAACTAATCCACTTCTTATTGTTGAACATCGGGGTTTGTTGTTGTATGAGTTAGAAGTTTTGGATCAAGTCCTTGCTATTTTAAAGCTATGCAGATCGTCACTGGCTGCTGCATTGTGTTTCTTTAGCAAGTTGTTGATTCCGAATAGAGCACTCTCTTCAGTAGTCAGCAACTAAAGATGGGTCATGTAACGTGACTTACTAATCTTACTGTGGGATCAGGTTTTTTCTTCCGTCATTATTCGAACTTGTGCGAGTCCTTAAAGAAAAGAAGATACAGTAAATCTATAGAAACAAGTGTTGTCTAGCTAAAAGACGTGAATGACTTTCATAGCAACCAAAGTTTACATAAAATACTGTTCTGTGTAGAATTATATAATAACTTATACCAGAAGACTTACTAAAAACTTACACTAACAATTAATAATAAAATGATATTAATTACGAGTAACAGGAAAATTACAAAAGCTGTCTTTGACTTTGATCAGTTGACTATTCGCTGTTAGTGGTGTTTTCGGCCATTAACCCAGGAACACCAGACAAGGTTAGGCCTGCTTAGCGAAATTACTAAGCACCGAAGCAGAAATGTCACATGTAAAGCTTTATGTATAAAGCCTTTCACATTTGGCCAAAGTGGTTACTACACTAATTTAGTGAAAGTAATGTTTTATAAGTTGGAGGATAATTCTGTGTTCATACATTATGGGTAGCGCAAACAACACTTACATTCCAGATTATTTTCTTCTTGTTTTCAAGTTATTTTACACAGGAAACAAAAATTTTGTTAGGCAATAAAAAAGTCTGACAAATTGCTGAGAAAAACAGAAGATTAGTAACATGATGATCTCTTTTAGCGTCATTATGATTAAAAAAGGATCTTACATGCAAGTTGTCTTATAAATTACAAGCGGAGGTACCCATCCTTTGTCCGGGTTGTTGACTTAAAAATGTAGGGTGGATGCTAAGATAAATAACACAAAAATCCTATTTTTCACTCTATTTATTTTAAGTACAGTAGTACTTAATAATAGGGATCGACAAGGATTCCAAATAATTCATGCACCAAAAAAACCACCCTAGTCAAATTCCAAAGCGAAAACCGACAATTCAAAGTAGTGGTTACGATATATTATGCGTATATATACTGATAATATGTTAAAAAGGTCACTAACCTTTAAAAAATTCTAAAACAGGAACATTTTGTCTACAACCTACCTACCTGATCACGTCGGCGGGCTAGCGCCGAAACGGCTCAGACTATCGCTACAATATTTCTCCATCTTACTTGACTGGTCTGTGGGTATCCGCTTTTGATATTCTGATAAAATTCCATATGTATATATATACAAGTATAACATAAATTTCAAACATATCATGTACGTACTTAAATATCTTTTATACATATCAGTGGATAGACACGAGACAGTTTCTAAAGGTAAAGTATATACTTTATATAGGTATAACATAAAAAGTAAACAAACAAGATTATTAAAAAAATATGAATTTTAAAATTAAGTATGAATCGTGCTATATAAAGTAATGAAACCAGAATTAAAACTACAATAACAAATTTATAAAATTTAATCCCTAATTTGGCAGATTTATACACTTATCTGTAGGCCAAAGTGAGGATTAAATTTCATAAGTTTGTGATTGTTGTTTCATTACTTTTTATAGCAGGATCCCTACTTCATTTTAAAATTCACAATTTTTAATACTCTTGTAACATAACATATTATTACAGTATTATTCATTATTACATCATCCAAAGTTTTGTATAAGCTTCAATAACTCACCATGTATATACTTAAAACATGGTGCACACAGTGCGATAGTCAGGGTGGCTTTGTAGAAAGAGGTAGAGGCCAAAGAAGTGGCAGTATTGGTGCTTTCTGTTACCCACTTTCAACCCCTGCTCTTAATGTCCTTTCACAGTGTTTCACAGTGATTAATTAATAGATGGTCTTTGGCCGTAGTAGTGTCTTACGAGCCGAAGTTGAAAGGTCACGGATCAAAGTAGGAAGTGGATACAACTCAAGAAATGGCTCTTCATATCAGTCTTATGGTGGCTGTTGAAGTAGAAACTTCAGCCGAGTTTATTATGTATTATTGCAATAGTGGCAGCCATTTTTTTCATTGTATTCTTTCATAGAGAGTGCTAGCGTGCTCTGAGATATGTAAGAGGTTTGTGTGCCCTCCACTACTCTTTGTGTATTTATGTTATAGAAAATTTAATAAAGTTTTTTGTTTTGTGTAAGGACGTCGCACCAGCTATGAATGTAGTTAACTTACGTCAAATATAATAAATGCTCATAAAAGTAATAATGGGAGGCGGTGGGAGGGCGTGTGTGTTTGTGAACCTTTAAATTGCTTCTTGTTCCAAACTATCATCCCACAAGGTTTGTTTGAGATTGGCCCGGTGAACTAGGAGTAATTAGATAATGGATAAACAGACAGACATACAGGTTTTTTATGTGCTTTTTATATATAGATACTGATAATACGAGTACAGTTCATAGTTCACTTCAGTATGGGGTCATTATTACATTTTCAAAGCTTCTCAGGGTAAAGCTAGTCACTAGGTCAGTCCACTTGCCTGTTTACTTCTCCACTGATAAGAAAAGAAAAAGAGAGACAAAAGGATATGCTTAACTCACCACTAGATGGCGGTAGAAAACAAATTCATAAACGTGAGAAGAACAGACTTTCAATCAAGGTTGACTGTCTCAACATACCAATAAGAGAGCTTAATTAAAACGAGTTTTCTTTTTTTAATTTGCTACTATCGCGCAGCGAACAGGGACCATGATCATTCTCGTGTTTGTTATATTTCCCGATAAGTTTTATCTTAATATATGCACGTAATTTGAATATTTTGTTCATTTTTTTTCCTCTAAATTGTTACTACTTCACTTGAAACATAGATTATTTATATATCCTCTTATTAATCTACTGAACCCCCACCGTGAATTAGAATTAGACTAAAATGACTACAGTTTTTATTGAAACGTAACTGTCTGGAGGTCAAGTTTATTAAGCTTACTTGTTGTTTGTAATTAAGCACAAAGCTATACAGTAGGCTATCTGTGCTCTTCCCGCCACGGATATCGAAACCTGGTTTCTAGCACTGTAAGTCCGCAGACAATACCGTTGTGCCACCGGGGGGCACTTGCTTAGTGACCAGCTATAACGGATGAAAGAGAATATTTCAGTGACTTTACTCCTCATATTCTTTCAAGTATATACAATATAATATTGGATTTCCATATTCTTTGTTAATCACAGAGAGTTGAGACAAACATTACACTATTAGTCGTAGCTGCTACTCATTTGTAGTTCTTCGGAAGCCAGTGCTTCCCCTCTCCTAACAACACGCCCTCTGCTGTGGAACTATAGTGTCACCCTCCCCTAGCAGTACGCCCTCTGGCGCTACTTCGTGCGACTATGATGTTACCCGTTCCCTAGCAATACACACACAATGATGCCACTTCGCGGAACTGTGGCGTCTCTGCCCCTCCCCTATCGCTTGACACAGCCTATCAGCGTGTGTGTCCAGGGTATTGCCATGACTACTAGCGAGTGTTTTCTCAGTGTGACAGAAAGTTTTCCCCGTGATGCATGTTTTTGTATAGTAAATGTGTCAGATACATAAGCTAAAATCTCATTTTACAGTAAATACAACAGCTAGTACTGTATTATTCATATTAAACTGCGTTATTTATTTAAATCTTCTGCCCGTTTCACTGATATATCCATACATACAGGGAAATCAGACTTTAAAAAACTGACCAATCAAACCTATACACCACACTAATATATCCAAACACACAGGGAAACCAGACTTCAACAAACTGACTAATCAAACCTACACACCACAGTAATATATCCATACACACAGGGGAACCAGACTTCAACAAACTGACCAATCAAACCTACACACCACAGTAATATATCCATACACACAGGGAACCAGATTTTAACAAATTGACCAATCAAACCTACACACCACAGTAATATATCCATACACACAGGGAACCAGATTTTAACAAATTGACCAATCAAATCTACACAC